AAAAACCCCTTCCCAAAAAAAAAAAAAAAAAAAAAAAAAGGGAATATGTTTTTTAGACTCTGACAACTCTGACAATGTCACCGATCTTTTCCTAGGATATCTAGCAGAAAAGGGTTTTCAATTGCTTTTGCAGACTTTCTGGGGAGGGGCAGTGCTGTCATGAGCTGCTTCCTCTGCTCCTCCTTGTTGAGACTCATCCCTGCGACAAGAGGCAGGAACAGAACAAGACCACGGCATGGAAGGGCCCTTTTTATTAGATTTGCATATCAAAGGCACCAGGCAGTCAGCACTTAACAAGTTATCTTCACACCAGTCTTTCTGAGGTTTTGCTATAGTGCAACTTTAAAAATGGGACGGCATGTGCTTCTGCTCAGTAGGTGCCCGAATGCATGTAAATGAATGTAAATGTATGCAAAATGGCAAGGTATGTTTTTTCTATTCTGGAGGATCTTGGCCAGTATGGCTGGGAAGGTGTCAAGTACGGTGACAGTTTTCTGATGTGGACACCTGTCCCACAGACTGAGACCATCTGCTTTATTTTCCCGTATACAAGAAGCAAGATACATATCCTTCAGCCTAGATGAGACATGAAGTTCGGATGTAGAAACATCGCAAAGAAAGGATGAGCACCAGATAGGATCTGAAGTCTAACGCTCCACACTTCATGGACTCTTTCTTATTTCACTCCCAGTGTGATGCAGCGAGCAAATGTACTGGAAAAGTGGTATCTTACGCCTTCTCTCCATGGGTATGAATATCTACTGAAGGGTCAATGGGACGGGAAATTCAGCCCAAAACTTTTTTCAGGGAGTGGAGGGGAGGAAGAAAAAGGAGAACACAGGGGCACAGGCAGATGTACTGCTGCAGATCTTGTGGGATGGTTTAGGGACATAACATTTTCCATCTGCTTGGTACCACACCCCAGCTCAAATCTGCTGCTCCCCTGCAGCTGAGCCACATTCATGCACTCTGCCAATGCTCCCCATCTGCTTTGGGGGCTCATCTGATTTCAGCTGCGACAGCTGACATTGTGCTGAAGCAAACTGGGGGCTCCAGCTTGGTCCGTTAGCTGAAGAACAGTAACAAGTAACTGGAGCTGTAAATCACCTTCTATACACAAAATGTCCCCTGCTCCTGCCCTCTTCTAGGGGAGTGAGTTAGGCCATCTTGCCTGACTTTGCACTGAAATGGGCTTGACCCACTCATATTATTAGCATGGTGCAGGTACAGAGATGACAGCAAACAGAGTAAACTGCTAATATCTTAGACCAACATGTCTGTTTGTAATGCCATTGTGTGTCTCCACTGATGGGCATGGTATTTCCAGGCTACTGAGCAGTCCCCATCCAAGTCCATCACTACCACATAGCGCTTGGCTACCACCTCAGCCTGTCTCTAATGAAGCAGCTGGTAGAAACAAATATTCCTGCTTCCTCATGGGCCAACAATTTGTTTAGGGACCAGTTAGGCACCTTTCAAATATTCTTCAATGCTTTTGCACTGGCAAGGTTTGCTCTCTGTCAGGGCAGCATCCAGTGATGGCAGAACAAGTGAGCAAGGTAGGAAATTACTGGCAGGTGACAGCAGTTAAGGCCAGGTGGGAGGAAAGGATTCAAAGCCAAGCAAAGCCCTGGGAAAGGTTTGGGCGTCTAAAAAGCAAAACTGGGTCTTTGCATCTAGCTCTCTTTTTGAGGCACAGTCTAAGAACAAGGCACTGATAGGCAACTGGGACATGCCTCAGTCAGAGGGGTTTTATAGGGTGAAGAAAACATGAGGAGCTGGGTAAGTCCAGTTTTCTTCTAGTTTTCTGATGCTTGTTTCTATACTCAATGCAGTTCTGTAATCTCATGTGTGGATTTCATAATTTATTTCTTTTTAATTTGCTGCTATGGTAAGCTGGCTTGCATTAAGGGTGCCATTCCTTGAAAGTGGGACCCTGGGCCATTCTTGTACAACATCCCCTGTGTCTTATGTGAGTGTGTCCAAAGTTAATACACCCCATCTCTGCTACGTTCTTGTTTAGTTACAGGTAATGCAGGGTTCTGTGTGGAAGAAGCATTTTCTGATAAGCATTAGCCAAGAAAGCTTTTTAGCATGTAGTATGAGGCTGCCTGAACTCTATGTCCCCAGGGACATCTGTAATAACGATTTGTTCTGTGATGTATGAAATAAAACATAATTGACAAAATTCCAAGCCTGGCATAGTTTGCTCCAGGCATCCTCAAATCCTGAGGCAAGCTCCCCAAAATCAGGTACTTAGTGTAATTCACAAGGTTTAATTCTCTCTGGTTTTATTTGTCTTGGGCTTTAGTAGCTTCTAGGGGTCTGAGTTTTCCAACTCTCCTTCACAGCTGTGTGAGCGACAAGTGTAAAAATGTTTTAACTGCTAATAAAAGCTGAGGGCATTGCCCAGCGACACCGCAGTGACAGCGACAACTAACGAAAATCAATAAAAATATCCTGAGACATTTCACTAAAAATCTGAAAATGGACAATGTTGCAATCTGCTGTGTATGGCAAGCAGGAAAGTTACACAGTTGAAAGACAGCTTATGCTTCCTCCTCTGTAGGCCGCTCGTCTTTATTTTGTGTGAGTTTGGTTTTTTGTCCGGTTTTGTCTTGGTTTTTTTTTTGGTTTTTTTAATGTATATTTGTAAGGAGAAGACAGGAAGTGGTTTATCTCATCTTGATATGCTTGTTCTGAACTGTTTTTAAAAAGTTGTTCCAAACGGCCAAAATCCAGAGGGATTTTTCAGTCCCAAAGTGGTGACTGGTGCACAATTCAGTAGTTGTAAATACTCGTTCAGGTTTCAGAGTTTCTCCCTCCGATTGAGTTCTATTGGCTTTTAAACTGTATGTTTATTCAGACTGCTAAATGAAATGTCACTGTGATCCAGAAACAAAACTTCCTGTGTAACAATGATTTGACATTTCTGACTCTTTTAAACAAATCAAAATGATGACATTAATCAAAACAAAACCTTTTCAGCTAACAACTTGGGTTCTAAAAGTAGATATGTTGAAAATAAGAAACATTTGATTGGAGAAATGCTTGCCTATCTCATTATCTCCAACTTAGTGGAAATTAGTAATTGCCTTATCACCAAACCCTAATAGTTTCTTCTCTCT